AGGATAGTGTTATTGTTAGGTGTCAAGTTGAGTACAACTCATAGCAACCCTTGGAACAACAGATCTGAAGCTTGTCCTATTCCGCTGTTCACATCAATCACATCACATCACATCACATCACATCACATCACATCACATCACATCACATCACTGCTCAAGCCCTTAGCAGAGCTGCTTTGTTTGAGTAACTATATATTTGTTTGAAACAGTGTTAAGGATGATTTAGTTAAGAGTACATGACTACTTAGTAATTTTGCTATATATGCTGTTGAGTCCATTCTGAGTCACAGTGATCCTAACAGGACAGAGTAGAACTGTCCCAGCTACTATCCTATCCCAGCTGTTCCATCATCACAAGCTCTAGCACACGTTAGCCCAATGCTGCAGTCACAGTGTCAATCCATGTGGCTGAGGGTCTTCTTCTCCTTCGTCATCCCTTCACCTTTCCAAGCATCATGCCTGTCTCCAAGGAATAGCTTCCCCTAACAACCTGTCAAACAATGTGAGACGAAGCTTTGCCATCCTTGCCTCTGGCTGTACCTTCTCCAAGAATTATCTGTTCTTTTGGCAATCTATGGGATATTCAGTACTCTTCTCTAACACCACTGCTCAAAGGCATCAATTCTTTTCCTGTCATCTTTATAACTGTCCAGATCTCAGCGGAATAACAAGTGACTGAAAGACCTTGGCCTAAGGCACACCTTAGGACCAAATAATCTTTCTTTCTATGATACACAGGGTTGCTAGAAGTTGAAACTGATTCAACAGCATCTAACAACAATTTTTAAGGAAGCAGAATGGCATGTCTTTCTTTTCAGCATGTTTCAAACAACCAGTCTTCCACTCAGAAACCAAGAACTTAACATCCCCAATGAGTTAGGGGTTGGATAATTTTAAAAAATAAAAATAAAACTATTTTTCCTAAAATCATTTTAAGAATAAAAGTATTCTTAAAACTATAAAGTTTAGACCTATGTATCACTAAACAAAATCAATTTTTATTTCATTTTTGCTAAAAAATAATGTCCTTTCTTTTCTCTCTAGTTAACTGTATTATGAGGAGCCTCGGTAGCACTAATCCAAATGTCAACCAGGAGCTTATGCAACAAAACCCTTAGCAATGTGTTCTCTTAAAGATTACAGTCTAGGAAATCCTATGGGACAGTTCTACTCTGTCCTGTTAGGGTCACTGTGACTCAGAATGGACTCAACATCACATATAGCAAAATTACTAAGTAGTATTGTACTCCTTACAAATTCACCCTTAACACCATTCCAAACAAATATATTTTGTTATATATAGTTACTCAAACAAAGTAGCTCTGCTAAGGGCATGAGCAGTAAAGACAAGAAACTAGTTCCCAACAGCAGCAGTATTATAACCAGCAGTCAAGTCAATGCATATTGTGCTCCCCAACTAATAAAGTGAGCTACAGTCAATTTATTTTTATTTAATCATATTGCAAGAGAAACATGAAAAACACTGTGTTAAACTATTCAGTAACAAATAATGTCTCATGAACTATATAGAGTCACTGAACCCTCAACAGAATTTTCTGTCGCCTTAGATGGGGCATGTTTTATGCTGTGACTCCTTCAAGGACTATTAAAGAAATAAATAGATACCTTGCCCTTTCATGAAATTTTTCAAGACTATTCTCCCTCTACTGAGAATGTTTCAAGATTTCGTTATCAGGTTGGCATTAAGTCTGCTTTTGGTGTCCAAATCTGAGGCTAAAAGTGTGTTTGGAGGTATTTTTCATCTTGTTTTGTTTTGACTTATAAATCGCAAATATTATACTGCAAGCTGTAGGCACCTCAATGAGCAAGTGAAGAATCAATAGAGAATGTGTTCCAAAAACTCATTTGTTGGCTAACAGGCTTCTGAATGTATCTCTGAGATCCATGAAAAAGGCTGGAGAAGGTAGCAAAGAAATGTATCCACTACTGAAGCCTTAAAACAAAGTTGGTGTCTCTTTGGACTTTAAAATAGTCCCTATGCAGTTTATTTTCTTACTGTTTAATCAAATAAACAAGAGAGATTTTTTTTTGGTTTTTTTTTTTTTAAGAGAGGTTTTTCCTAAGGGGAAAAAAGTCTGCTTTTGATCAATTAAAATATTTTTATTTTTCATTTTATTACATTGTCTTCCTCCTTGTCTTTTCTACTTTAATCACTGTTTCTTCTCCATTTTGGTTCAAGTAGGGTTTGGCTCTGATCAATATTACTGGATATTCTCTTGTTCTCATCAGTAAACCAAATCAGTCATATCATAATTTGTGGATATAAGACTTCACCTCACATAATTTGGGCATGCTATCTCAGAAAAAGTCAATCCACCTCATCTAGGACATAATAGGGGTAGGTGTGTCACAGAGATGATAAGGTTGCCTCAGGATACAGCAGGGTTCAGAGCTGTTGTATATAAGGTTGCTATGAGTCACAGTGACTCAACGGCACATAACAACAACATCAGAAGGAACCATAAATAGAATGTCTATGTTTCATTGACTATGCAAAGGCATTTGACAGTGTGGATCATAACAAGTTATGGCTAATACTGAGAAGAATGGGAATCCCAGAGCATTGAAGTATGCTCATGCCAACCTACACCTAGACCAGAGGCTACTGTGTGAACAGACCAAAGGAACACTAAATTGTTTAAAATTAAGAAGGGAATGTGGGACGGTTGTATTCTCTCTACCTACTCAATCTGTATGTTGAGCAAATTATTCAAGAAGCTGAACTCTATGAAGAAGAATGTGGCATCAAGATTAGAGGAATACTCATCAATAACCTGCAGATTAGACAAATTTACTTACTGAAGGTAAGACCTTGAAGCACTTGTTGCCAAAGATCAAAGAACATAGCCTTCAATGTGGATTGCATCTCAGCATCAAGAAAACAAAAAATTCTTACCACTGGTCTAATAGGCAACATCATGATAGATAGAGAAAAGATTCAAACTGTCAATAACTTCATGTTACTTGGCTCCACAATCAACAACCTTATTATCAACAGTCAGGAAATCAGGAGACTTATTGCACTGGGAGCTTTTCATTCTTTTTGTTGAATTTCACTTTTAAAAAAAATATCTTCTCCATTCCTCCCTCCTGGTCACACAATGTTAAGAAAACCTAAAAAACTAACAGTCCTTCTTTGGCTCTGACACTCAATCTAGACACACTTCTTTTTACCCTCTCTGCCTCATTTAATCTTCCAAATTATTGAACAGTAATGTCAGTTTTAGAACTAAGGTATGTCTAAGTCAGGCCATGCTCTTTTCAATCACTTGCTATCAGTCTGAGAGCTGGACAATGAATAAGGATGACAGAAGAAGAATGCCTTTGATCTGTGGTGTTGGAGAAGAGTACTGAACATCTCATGGACAGCCAAAAGAACAAAGAAATATGTCTTGGAGAAAGTGCAGCCATAGTGCTCTTTGGAGGCAAAAATGATAAAGTTTCACCTCACATATGTAGGGTATGTTGCTTCGAGGCCCTATTAAGTCCTGGGATATGATGTTCAGAAAGGTAGAGGGTTGGTGAAAGAGAGGAAGACCCTTAACCAGGTGGATTGACACGGTGACTGTTGCAATGGGCCCTAGCGTGTCAGGAAATATGAATTTGGCACAGGATAGGACAGGGTTCAGATTTGTTATTCACAGTGTCACTATGGGTCATACTCAACTCAACAGCACCTAATAACACAGCAATAATCAGAAGGAACTAATCCTCAGAAAAGAACATCATGCTCTGAAAAGCAGAATGGGAGAGAAAAACACCCTAAACAATATGAACTGATGCTTTGGGCATCAGAACAATAGGTCTAAGTACCACAAAGATATACTGACACATCAACTGCAACAATGGCCCCGAAGCACAGCCAAGATTGTGAGGATGGCACAGAACTGGACAGGGATCAGTTTTGTTGTACTTGTCAAGCGGACAACATCTAACAACCCTACTCTCAACCTATATCTATTAAGAATATCAGTATTTCTTCGTTGTTAGTTGTTAGCTATTCTATAATGTGCAGAATGCCAAGAACACAATTAAGATACCATGAGTATATTGCTTTCTTTCAATTTAGGACTATAAAAATTGCTAATTCAATTTTTATATGTCTCACAGAACATTAAATAAGCATCTAAGAGGTAAGAAATCTTTCAAGAATTTAAGTTCTTTTATTTTTCAGTAACTTAAAACCTTGAAGATGAAGTCTTTCACAGAACAATTATTAACATTAATCCTAACCTTCATAAATTTTATTCATTTCAAGCATACTTGTTAAATATTAGACAACTCATTAAATTTAATTAAATAAGTTTCTATATGATATTGCTTTGAAGAAACTACAGTCTTACACACTTCAAAAATAACCACATTTTAAAAACCACAAGTTAATGCCTATCAAAAGCCAAGTTCATTTGCTTATTGCCAATAATATATCAAACCTCTAACATCTAGAGCCCTTCTCTTACTGTCTCCAACATAAAGAATGTATTTAAACAATCTCAAAATTGAAATCCACGTGTCCAAAATTGCTGGCAAGAAAGTGGACGACACTAAAGGAAAAAACTCTCCATATGTAAACCATGTTTTTCAGTCTTTTTCTTGTTGAATTTCACTTTTAAAAAAAATCTTCTCCATTCCTCCCTCCTGGTCACACAGTGTTAAGAAAACCCAAAGAACTAACAGTCCTTTTTCGGCTGTGACACTCAGTCTAGACATGCTTCTTTTTACCCTCTCTGCCTCATTTAATCTTCCAATATCTATTTACTCCTCAGCCTCCAACTAACATCTCAAAAGTACACCTAAACTACTTCTTCCTGTCAATCATCATTAGCTAGCAAAAATATTCACAATTTCACTTCATCATTAAAATGCTGTCTAAAAGCATACTTGATTCTCAGAAAGTCATTCATTTACAACATGTAAATATTCATTATTCAGTTCTTATTAGTTTTATATGAATTAACTTCAAATAAAAGTTAACTTACTATTTTTTTCTTCTGGGATTTTAAGTCATCCAATGCTTCATCTAGAAAACAAGATTTAAATCAAGGATAAATTAGATAGTAAGATAACTCAGATATGAAAATAAAAAATCATGCCAAATACATATTAAGAAGCTGCAAGAACACTTTCTCACCTCAGGCTTTCTCTAAAGCTAACTAATCATGTATGTAAACAAAGATTATCTTCATCTTTATCCATATGAATTTCACATTTTTGCCTACATACACATGGTTTTTAGCGAAAAAATGAGCATTACATAATATAAAACACTGTTCCAAATTTAAAAATATAAATTTGAGACTCTTTTCAGAAATATTACTTTCTATTATTTATTCTTCCTATCAACACCCCATCTATATTAATTTTTAAAGTAATTTTATAAAAACAATGCATGGAAATGATTGTACAAAACACAATGTGAATGAATAATGTGAAACAATGTATACAAACTTTGTAAGCAAACCAATATAAAATAACTTTTTTAATTCAAGACCTAATCTCTTTTAATACATTGTTGTTGCTGTTGTTGATAGCCAGCAAGTTGAACATGACTCTTAGCAACCCTATGAAGAAAAGGCCTGAGGCCCCTCTACAACTATCGACATTTATCAAAGTTCATAGAGGCATGTTGTTTTAAGAAGTGGGTGCCACTCCTGCTTCCAATTTAATACATTAGTAATAAAAATTATCTTTTCTAAAAAGGCAAAGAAGTATGTATTATATTTTTTTTAATTAGATGAACTTCAGAAAATAATATAAATTAAGTTTTTTCATATCTACAGCAATATAGCTTAAGGATCTTAAAAGTAATAGGATACTAATAAATTTTCAAAATTAAATATTTCCAAAAGCCTCTCATTTACTTACATTTGCATGGTGAGACATTAAAAATATTTTTTATTGATGTTAATGAAAGTTTACAGAAAAATTGGATTTTTCATTCATTGCTGCACATGAAAAATATTTTCAAAGGATATAATCTTTGAATGCCAATGCATGCTTTACAAACTGCTTTTAGACTTCTAGTCTTTCCCTTGACATACTTAACTACTACTTATAGGAGTTATTTTTAATTAGATAAGTCAACAATCATTTTATTTAAAAAAATTAGACCAGAT